CAGTTCTGTCCAGTTTTGTCCAGTTGACAAATTGAATTTCTCCTTTGCCATGGATTCTACCTGGATGACTAAGGGGTTTCTACATCAATCTAAAACTTGCATAAAATGCATTTTAACAATATTAATTTTAGATGAAGTCCATATGATTTGACATTATTGCTTTGATGTCATTTGAAACCATTAAAAGTGAAGGAAATAGTAGGCAGAGATTGGAGAGCTATGAGGAAACAACTGCATGGAACTATCCCAGACAGTTTCTATGCAATTTATTGGTTTCAGACAAACAATTCCTTCCAGATTTGAAGGACTTTCTGAGGACCCGGTGAAGGTACATGTACTACAATTTGAAATGAGTTTTGTTGGTTATTATGCAACTACTATGTACCTTTTCTGGTGCAAGGTCTACCACTTACTTGTACTTGTCTCCATGAAGATATTATTGCTTTGCCACCAGGCCACAACATCAGCTGTGGAACATTCCAGTCAAAGTGATAACATCTCCATGGAAACAAGCATGTGACAGACCCAGCAGAAAAGTTATATTGTGCAACATTCTAAAAAGTCTAACCTCAAACAATCATTTTACAATTGTTTGACTGTGACAGTTTTCAAGTGTATTCCCTGTGTATAAACAAAGCCAGTATTTCTTCCTCCTCCTCTTCCTCCTTTCTGTCTGGGTCACATAATGAGATGTGTCCCGAGGCTCAGACAGGCTGATGAAGTCCCTGATCAGTGTGTGAAGGACCACACAAGGGCAGACACTCCAGCACTCCTCTCACACACTGGAATGACAACACAGCAGGTCTGCTAAGGTCACACACACAGCCATGCTGTGTTTCCATGGTTTGAAATATTATTCCACTAATTACAACAGTTTGAAAATAAAAACTAAGACCGATCACAGAGACATGCCAAAAACAAATTTCACAGAGGAATAACAAACAATATGGATGTTCTCAAAATCACATAATTATATTAATCAAATTTGAGAGAAGTTATAGATTTTGTGCAGAGTGAACTGCAACAAACTTTTACCTGGCTTTATAGGATATTTCTATACAAATTTTACAGTGAGAAAGAAGGCACTGCCTGTACTTTTTCACTGTTTAACATTTTCGTGGATGATACTGTGCCTGCCTCCATTGACATTCCATTGGGATGGGATGTTTCACAGTAAGACATTCAACTGTCATACTTTGTTGTCACCATGAAATTTGTCCTCTGCATTTGACCCACCCTTCAATGCTGCTGGGGCAACCTGTCAGGTGCAGTGAGCACCACAGAGTCAGATGCCACATAGAAGTCACAGGAACCTTCTTACTCTGAGATGAGAATGCTGGTCACTCAGGCACCCTGAAGCCAACAATGCCACAACTAGGCCAAGTGACAAGTCAGATCCTGTTCACAGTAAAATACTTGTTTTTGGAACATGCCAGGCAAAGAATCCCTCCATCAGAGCAGTCACATAGTGCACCTTTAAAGCAATCAGATAGCGATATTCAATTTGGTCACATCCCAATCTCTGTAGATTCCATTAGATAGCTCCTCACAGTGGTCTTTCTCATACTAAATCTGAAGTCTGTTCCAGTCTAAAGCCCATGATGAGTGATTTAGCTGGGCCTGTATGACGCGTGTTATCAGCACCGCTCTTATCTGAGCTGCACTCCTCCGTTTGGCTGGAGGCATCTCTCTCTCCATCTTTCTCTCTCACTCTCTGTCTCTCTTTCCTTCTCTCTCTCTCTCTTTCTCTCAGTCTCTATCCTTGTCTCTCTCCTTCTCTCTCTCTCGCTTCTTCTCTGTCCCCCCCTCTCTGTCACATTGTCGTTATCTTCATTGTAGCTTCAGAAGCTCATCAGTGATATGTAAAATAGTCCACTCAGCAAACCACGTCCAGTGCATGCCTTTGGTTCACTACAGTCATTTATGCAGTGGTAAGCTATGCTGATCCTGTTAGACATATTTGGAATGTACAAGTCAGCAGGTGTCTAAGACGGTATGCTTCTTGACAGTGGAGACCCTTGTGTGGTTGTGACTGATATGATTGTGGTCAAATGAGTGCTGTGGATAGACTAGAGACCACAGTGTATCTTCTTCTACAGCTTATGTTGATGTGAGAGGTCCTGTGCTCAATTTTCAACCATCACCGCCCAGTGACCAAACTACAGACAGATATATAAATGGACATAGTTAACCTGTTAGCCGCCGCATTCCATATAAGAAGTGAGCATGATTGCACTTCTGGCTCCACTGACTCTGGCTCCAATTGATTTTACACTGGAAAATGTCACCCCTCTCTCTGTAACTGCTGCAGAATGAGCCTTGTCATTTTTGAACCTATTCCTACTATGGAACTCGGCTTCAAATTCACCCCATAACTGCAGCCCTCGATGAGCTTTATTTGGCTGAAGCTGAACACTATGGGTGACATCACACCAAACCTGATCGTCTTTGTCCAGTCTTGCCAGATCGCAAGCCAGGGCCTGGTTAGTACTTGGATGGGAGACCACTGGGAATTCCACTGTGGTGCAGCAATGGCACTAGTACAAACTGCTGTTGTGTCCTTTGGCAAGTCACTTTACCCACCTTGCCTAGCGTGATTGTGATGCGTGACTGTGGGTTATGGTCTGAAGGATTGATGGCACAGATTGGCAGCCTCTTTTCCATCAGTCTACCCCAGGGCAGTTGTGGCTACAATAGTACACAACTAGAGTGAATATTGCATTTTTAATCAGGTACAGGGCCTGTAAAAATACATATTATGAATTATGGGTCTACATACATTTCCCCATTTAACTTTATCTTCAAATGTGCGTTTTGGATGGAAACTGAGCAATTTAGGCTAGTTTCTGGCTCGGGTCTAGTAAAGGTAATAGTAGGTAGGCTACACTTATTGTACATAGCCATCAAGTCTTGGTTCTTTACAAGAAACTTCCCGATGACCTGAAGATGTCTCTCAAAGTTCAGTGTTTCATCTGACGTTACAGCAATCTGACAAGTATATAGTAGTGTTTTATTCCTCCATCACAAAAGGAGATTCTGTCTAGTCCCTTTATAATGACAGAGGGAAAGTACGTGACAGTCCCAACGAATGAAAACCTCCAATCAACTTTAAAATAGAAACTAATTTAAACCAAAACAATCAATCTACATTTAGCAACACTCAGCTCTGACATGCTCCATGTTAGATACAATTACATTTTCAGGCGTCAAAGTCTTTTTCTCATCTCAATGCCAGCCCCTCACTGCCGGTATGTTATGCTCGTCTTTATCTGAAATGGAGACGCTGCATTTGCCAAATCGAAGCAACAATTAGCGGTCAATCAAAAGGGTGCGTTTGATTTCGGATGGCTCATCAAGGCTGTCTCTTCAATGTCCATCTCCATCTCATCACTGACAGTTTGAAACAAGCTAATTACTGTGTTTGTGTGGGAATCAACATTAGATAGACTTAAGGGTTGGGTTTATTAGATGATACCGAAAGCAGCTTTTTGGTGGTATTTTTAAAGTCTGAGTTTAAAGGTCCTATATTACTTTAAACTCTTCTGAGCTTTAAATGACATGTTAAAATATTATTACCTCGTCAAAAACATGCATTGAGTTGTGTTTTGATTCATTCACAAATATAATCCTGCATTATTAGTACAGTACATTTCCAAGGCTCAAAATGCTCAGCAATGTCATGAAATGGTAGTTTACATCTACCTTTTACCGTATACTGATCAGTAAAGATTGGCAGTTCCAAGGCTGAAATTATCCAAATGATTCTAGTGAAGGTGTATAGACTTTAAAAACACAGTACAGCACTTCCTGTATTACCACATGACATCACAAGGTGAAAGAGAGTCCTGTCTGCATGAGAGAAGAACTCAGCCTAAATCTGCAGGATTTGTGTGTTAAACATGTGCAAATGAAATCCAACAGAATAATATTATGTTTTTTGGTGATGAAACAATATTATAACATAGTAGATCAGAAATAAGTGTACTTGGTGTTTTAATAACATTGTCTACTGTTCCTAGTGGTAATTTTAGTGAAAGTAGGTATATTAGTGTCTTTCTGACCAAAAACATAAAAAATAAGTTTGTCCTGCCTCCAGTGGCTTCTGCAGTTTTAAGTGCTTGGTGACATCACACAGGACTCCCCTGATCACAGCCAAGTGTTTCTGATACAAACACCTGTCTGCAGGGGTGGAGGTTGAAGTGTAGATACCTGGTAGACCAATCACATTGTTCTTTATACCCTCAGCTCCCACCCCTCCTTTCCTGTCACTCCCCCCTGTAGGCCTCCAGGTACTCTCCAGTTTAGCAGCTTTATTTGAAATATAGTTGAGGTGAAGTTAAGATGTTAAGTCCCAAAAAATACGTATATTACAGCATAAATATTTTGTGCAGGAATACTGTCTATAGCCAAAATCTGTTGAAATCTAAATATAATTCGTAATTACAAATCAAGTGAAATTTTTTTAATTATACAATAAAGTTTTTGTGTGTGTCTCTTGCTAACAATGTAACAAATCAGCTCTGGCTAAAACATGTCTATGGCCTTGAGACACTGGATAATGAATGGTTTGCTCATTACTGCCATTAGAAAACCTGACTTGAATCCTCGAGCAAAAATAAATCATAATTTGAAATGACTGTGAAAGTTAAAATACTCTATTATATATATAAAAGTTCCTGACAGGTTGTCCTGGGGGCATTTAAGGATGGGTCAAATGCAGAAGACATGTAGTGCTCTGTATGCATGCTAGTTGTTGTTAATGTTACAGAGATGGCAAAACACTGCTCTTGTGGTGAACAATTAGGATGCTAGGAATGCATTAACAAAGAAAACCTTTTAACCTTTTTAAAAATGTTTTCCACATTTTAAAGCAAAAATGAAGTCCAGCGCCTTTAACCTTGCATCCAGACTAAAGTCCCTTCCTTCTGTGTGCTGTCTTTTATGGTTGATGAGCAGTATTGATTCATGTGACACGGCTGACCTCTATCTTTGTGTCTCAGTTAGATAACGTGGATGAGCAGGCGGCGCAGATCCGACGAGAGCTGGACGGAAGGCTGCAGCTGGCTGAGAAGATCGCCAGGGTAAGACCAAGACTACAGCTTCAAATACTCCTACAGTATTTTGATTGTGGGAAAGGGAAATCAAAGTAGACAAAGAGTGGATATGTATATCTCTGGATTACTGTAAATAATTTATTTTCATTCAACTTCATTTTTGAGTCAAAACTAATTTGACAATTTGAAATGTGTAATAGTTGTCATACACTCACACACATATTGGTGGATTTCAGAACATAGAATCTGAAATGGGGAGCAAGAACAAGTTTATTTTGTTCTTTAATTATAACATTAACAAATGTTGAACCTGATCATTTCTATTAGTGACTAGACCCAAGAACTCACTGTACAAAAATCTGCATTGTGACAATATTAATTTAGCTGCCCCTAACCTCTATTAAATAATACTCAGAATGCTACGATATCATCGGAAACAACAATGCACCAACAACCAACAATGAACCCGATTTAATATTATACCAATTTATTTATATTTATATTTATTCAAAGCAAATCATTTACATTTTAAGATGATCTGTTTAAAAAATATACATCCATTTAAAGGAGCACCTTGTAACTTTTCCCGTGGTGAGTTTACCAATTGTTTGTCTCCGTGGAGATGTTACTGCCTTACTGGGAATGTTCTACACGGGGGCAATAAACTTGGTACATCTTGCATTTATCAGTAGCATAATTTTTTTTTTTTATTGCACTGAAAAACATACGGGCTTTTCTCTCCTCACATTTGACCTCTAACTTGCCCTCTTGGTGTCATATAGACAGATTGATCGATAACAATAATGCCATATTGTGAAATATTGCTGGTAAAGCAATTGCATCTCCATAGAGACAAGCAAGTGGCAGACCCTCCACCAGAAAAGTCACATAATGCAACTTTAGCATTGAAATGAAAAAGGTTACATATTCATTTAGTGTCAATTTTGTAGTGTTGTGCTAGTAACAATATTAGTAAGACAAACAAGCTGAAACGTGATAAAAGATATAACCTGCAATATGCATTTTTCATGAGATGATATTTTTTCTTAAAATAGGGAAATTGTTAATTTTGCAACAACAAATCTTATACATTTTCAAACAGTGGAGGGGATCCCATATATAAGCTTTAGCATACGCTTATCTCTCTGTGTGGTTGCAGGAGCGGAGGTACCCCAAGCTGGTGTCCCCGGACATGGAGGCCTTGTACGTGGAGGAGCTGAGGTCATCTGTGAACCTGCTCATGGCCAATCTGGAGAGTTTACCAGTGTCTAAAGGAGGTCCAGACTTTAAACAGAAGCTCAAACGCTCCTCACTCAACAACTCCTTCTTAGACATGGGGGACGAGGGAGACATCCTGTCCAAGTCTGACGTGGTGCTGTCTTTTAATATCGAGGTGACTGGAACAATATTACCACAATATCACAGGTGACAACAGTGGTATGTGAAAAGTGTAGTGATTGATGAATGGATGCAGAAATTATATGCAACAGCAAACAAAAGTTTAGACACACTCCCATTCAATGTTTCTTTTCTCTGTTTACCACTTTCTACATTTTAGATACATACAGAAGACATCAAATATATGAAGCAAAGACAAAATTGTGAAATAACTCAACATTTTTTTTTTTTTTTTTTTTTTTTATTCAAATTCCTCAGAGTAAACACTTTTTGCTTTGTTGAAGCACTGCAAACCTTTGAAGTCTCCTGAAATGGTTTTCAGTTCACAAGTGAGCCATGTTTGGGTCAAGAAATGGCAAAAATGCAAAGCAGTGATCAAGTCTAAAATATATTTTAGTTACTTGGGAGTTTATTGTTTACTACATTCCATGTGGTCAGTCATAGTTTTGATGGTTTTGATGTCTTTATTGAGAATCTACAATATAAATGTCATGTAATTGTTTATTTATTTATTTATTCATTATTTTTTTGCACCCCTGCTGATCAACCTTGAAAAATGCCCCATGTGCAAATGCTCAATCCTGCTGACAGTTCATGTCTATGGTAGGGGAGGCTACACTGTATACTTTTCGTATGCTTTATAGTGTATTATATTTTGGCCGAGATCGTGCATTAGTGATTAAAATTTCAGCACAATCGGACTAAGCCTGTGCTTGTATGATTTAAAAATAATAATAATAAAAATTGGGGGGAGTCTTTGCACCCCTGCTGGCCAACCATGAAAAATGCCCCATGTCTGTAATATATATATTTTTTTGCTTCCTTCAGTTGTATTAGACTTCATAGTATTTTCATTAGTCTGCCCCAGGGCAGCTGTGGCAACATTAGTAGCTTGAGTGTGGAGTGAATGAACAATGAACTGTAAAGTGCTGTGGATGTCTTGAAAGGGTCTATATAAATCCAGTAATTAATTAATTACATTCAGGCCAGGATCACGCAATTGTGATAGGAATTTAAGCTCTCTAGACCAGGGGTGCTCAATACGTCGATCGCGATCTGCCAGTCGATCGCTAAGGTCGTGTGGGTAGATCGCCGTGTCTCGTCTCGGACTCGCGTTTGGACTCGGTCTTGTCTCTTACTCAAAGTCTGACACTCAACAAGTGCGATCATATTTCATTAAGGCCGCTGCTGTTGGCAATAAACTTGTACCGGGGTGCAGGAGCGTGTGGGGCGTCTCAGTGCAGCCCGCAGAGACTCTACGGCACATCGCAAATACACACGCTCCCTATGCACGGCTTGTCTGCAACAGCGTGTGCCCTCGTGTACCAGCGTGCATCACAGGGCAGGTTAAACTTCCTAAACATCCTACCTGTCCATCTGCCTCACGTCAGCACGCCGCCCCTCGCCTTTTCACGCTCTCGCTCCTTCCTGCGTACAGCGAACACAAGCCCCTCCCACAGTGCGCGCTGATTAGAAGAGCAAGACCAAACGTGGAGCAAAAACGAGCCTAAATTTATGTTACAGTGTTGGCACAAAGCAGGACTACAGCACAGAGCAGACCTACAGAACAGACCTACTGCCACATTTGGCTGAAGTTTGTCAAATTGTCTATTCTCAGTTTGTCAAAAGTGCACAAATGCATCTGTGTTTGTCACGATGTGCGTTTGGTTTGGTAAACGTGCAGAGGCTGGTAAATATCACTGCAAAACCAGAAAAGAATGCAACTCCAGTTTGGAACTTTAAAAAACAGGTTTAAAAATCTTCCTTCACTTTTTCACAGTTTTGTGTAAAGTGACAGAGGAAGTTCTCTTAAAGAAGTGGTTCTCAAACTGTGGGTGAGGGTCCAAAAAAGGGGCACAGAGTGTTTCAGTGCAGTTTGCTTGGCTTTGTATTAGGTAGGTTATGACTTGGTCATTTTGTAAGTAGCTCGCATGCTGAAAAAGTGTGAGCACCCCTGCTCTAGACCAATGTGGCTGTGAAAAGTCATTAAAGAACCAGGAAATTAAGGTGTTTTTTGCTGACATGCTGCAGTGAGGAATATCCTAAAAAAACTGATCAGTTTTGTGAACCAATGTCTCTAGATGTGACTTTGCCAAATGTGAGTTCATTTAGACCAAAAACCAAGGACTAGTATCATTTTACAAACACGCAGTCAAAACGGTGGTGAATTTTTGATCTGATATGGCCAACTTCCTGGTTATAATAGGGGAATGCGCCAGCTCAACTTTTGGCTTGTCTTATTGTTCACTATCACTGTTCTGAATTTTGTTTGCCAATGCCAAACTTTGCTTATCCCAACTCCCATAGGAGTCCAAAAAATCTCTATGGTTTGCAAGGAAAAATAATAATAGAGGAGAGGAAATGAGCGAAGAACAATAGCCCTCACCAGTTACTCTGTTACTGGCTCATGCCTAAAACTGTGTCCAAAATTTTGACTGGTAGTGTAGTAAAGGGAACACTGCAAAATCATGTATTTTTTTCTCTTTTTATAGATGCACTATGAAACGTGTCTGGTTGTTTCTCAGAAACTTTCTATCTTGATCCAGATGTTATTTTTTTGCCTGGAAAATACCACAGAATGGCTTAAAACAAATCTATCTACATGGAGTTAAGCCAGTGATACCACCAAGCCTAAACAGAAATGTGTGTAAATGTTTATATTTATTTGTGTGTTATGTATTTATTTGATAAAGTTGAACTGTGATATTCTATAAGTGCATATTAATGAGCATCTCCAATTACAGTGTAAATATGACAGATTATAGTAAAGATGCAAATTTCCATCTGTTGTCCCCGAGGCAAGCAGTACAGAAGACTATTACAAAAACATGATTAAAAGACACTACAGAAAATAAAAGTGCTTACAGACTTGGAATACATACTGTGGAACATTTCAGGCAAAGCAATAACATGGTCACAGAAGAATTGACAAAAAGACTGAAATATTAACTGACAAACTAATATGAGAATCACATTGTTTATGTTTGTCCAGATCTACACTACAGGATTCACAGTTTTTACACACAATAAGACAGGTGATTTATTGTTGAGGAAATTATGGTATGTCACAAAATGGCAGTCTTTGTGATTTGCTAATTGTAACCCTACAAAATGTGATTTCGATTTGATTGTGATTCATCTAGCAGCTCTATTTATTGTTACTATACTGTACTACATTTCACTAGACTGAACAATTCACCTTTTTACATTAAAACTGATTGTTTCTTTCCTTCCGCTTGCTACTGTCCACAGATAGTGATCATAGAGGTGCAGGGCCTGAAGTCAGTGGCTCCGAACAGAATTGTTTACTGCACGATGGAGGTGGAGGGAGGAGAGAAGCTGCAGACGGACCAGGCCGAAGCCTCCAGGCCACAGTGAGTGCACAGTGTTTTATACAGAAATTTGAATAAAGTAGATGTCACTATAGAATGATGCATGTATACTGCATGTATTAGAGATTACAGGTTATACTGCATATACCTTGGAAAAAATGCATTCTTACTGTCAGTGGGCTTCTCTCTCCAGAGATCTAACTTGTAACTTGCCCTGACAGCACCGGCCATCATGGAGACATAAAATATAACATTTCATACAAAGCATTAACATCTCCATGGAGACCAACCTTCAACCAGAAAAAAAAAAAATGCAACTGGGTTTTATACAATAAACAGACCTACATGTAAATAGAACAATTTAATTTTCAATAAAAAGTCTGATTTAGCAAAGCTGTCAACATAATATAGGTAATGTAATATGTTTGTAGTAGTATAAGGATTTAGATATTGTTAGATGCAACAGTTAGTATGGGCCTTATTCTGATATGCTAATTAAAGTTTCCAAACTCCTTACAATTATAGTTAATATACCATTTTAATGTGATTTTACACAGTTCAAAAGGCAGCATTGTCCTCCTGTATATCAGATTGTACTATATATAGTCTTATGTAATGTAGGAAGTGTCCCCATCCACCACAGACACTAGTGTAAAGTTACTGAGATAGACTAGGCAGTTATATAACCCAGTGGAAGTCTATGGAGTTGACACTATGCCCTCAGCTCTAACAAACTCCACTCCTCTCTCACTGCTTCAGACAGTAAACCTGTGGAGAAAGAACCAAAAATACTACCTCGAACTGCAGGGGCCGTCTGTGTCCTGCAGTCAGTACCAGAGGTTAATTGGCATTTATGGTCAAATGTGGTAATAAACTTAGGGTTTTTTTTGTGGGGGACCATGTACAAGCACTACTTTCTATCCACTGTACTTGGGCAGGTGCGAACAAAAGTTAACATTACAAATACAAAACAAAAATCTTTTATGAAAAATATCTAGGCTTTTGCTGAGCTTCGGATAACATCACAACATTCTAGGGTCCAATAATATTTAATACAGATGAAGGAAGCTAATACTGACGTGATGAAATGATGGTTTGTTATGTTATCAATAGTCAGTCCTCGCTCAATTCATCATTATGCTCAAGAATCTGAAACACACCAATTTCATAAATCAGCTCAAACAAACATGTTATTGTCTATTTATTAATAGCCATACATTCTAATAAGTGTTTAAAGCCCTGTTATGCAAAATCAACTTTTCAGAGCTTTTCACCATGTAATATTTGTTTCCTCTTCTCATTTACCCTCTCAAAGTTGTATTTGGAGTGATACGTGCTTGTTTGAGCAATCTTTAATCACTTATTTCATTGCCAATCAGCCCTTGTTTTCACTGTCACTGGCATATTTATTTATATGGATCCCAGCTATGCCTTCCTGGTTTCACTGAAATAAAAAAATGTCATTCATTACATTTGATATTTAATTGCAATAAAATCACATGTCCTTAAAAATATCACATTTGAGTTCAAGTTCATGATTCAAGTACACATTTACAGTCCATTTACAGTTCATTTTGTCTTAATTTGACACTTGACATTTTACATTTAAAATAGTTTGTTCTTGGTTTGTTTTGTCAGTGGACTTTCTTTCTTTTTCTTTTATTATATATAAAATATTGCAGATTCACAGACTATAACTATATAGCAGACACAAGCACAATATCTCGTCTTTGAACATTTTTTATCTACCAGCTTTTTTAACAACCTTTTTTTTTTTTTTTTTAGTTTTATTTTTCACCTCCGTATAGCTATAATACAACTCCATTAACTTAACAATAGTTATTATGGTACCTGCATTAGAGGCGGGAATTCTGTCTAAAATGTGTATGGCTTACATTTTAAAATCACCTCGGCTATACCAAGACTGATTTAAATTATAGATGGAGTGTTGCAATTGGGCTGGTCACTTCTTAAATCAGGATCACATAACTGTAAACGACAAAGGTAGATTGAAAGAAAATGTAAGAAGAAGGCAAGGCAACTTTCAACAAACTACAGTAAAGGAGAACTGACCTTTCACTTTGGCAACAGTGGCTCAGTGGTTAAAGAGTTCACTGTGCAGCCTGTTATTGTGTCTAAGAGCAGAACACTTCACCCACCTCGTCTATGTGAGTGATTTGTGTTGGAACTCTGAAGGGCAGATAGTGCGGATTGGCAGCCACTCTCTTGTTACTCTACTTTTACTTTTACTTAATCGTGTACTGTGTAACTTTTCTGGTGGAGGGTCCACCACCTGCTTGTCTCCATGGAGATATTACTGTTTTGCCTTGATTATTCTACAGCATGGAAATAAACTTGGTAATCACTATAAAGATGGGTTAATGGTCAGATCTATGGAAAAGCAAACCTAAGAATAAGAATGAATGTTTTTAAAGGTATTTTTGGGCTATAAAACAGTTGTAAATGAACAAATGAAGGTTTAATGCCCTATTGTGGAACATTCCAGGCAAAGAATCTCCGTGGAGACAAGCAAGTGGCGAACCCTCCACCTTTGAAGCTATTCAGTGCACCAGTTTTTTTTATAACAAATTATCCTCAGAACTGCAATATAAAAGGTTATCTTGTGAAATGAACAGACCTACAGGTCCAAATTGCTCTATTCTTCTCACCAATCTTTTTTTTTTTTTTTTTTTTTTTTTTTGCACAAAACTCAACCACCTTCACACTACCAGCCTTTCTAAAGAACCATACCATTTAGCCATGTCTTACAGATGACAAATGACCCTTTCTCTGGTTTTTCAAAGCCCCGCCTCCAGGTTTGGTTTTTCTCAGTTTCCACAGTAACAAGATGCAAGGGGTGCTGCTCCTGTTGCCCACGGTGACACCATCTGCCTGGACCCGACGTGCTAATGGTCCAGAGATGACAGACACGATGACGGCTTTTAGCAGGGTTTTATCTGTCAAAGCAGAGTTAACCTTGAGCAGAATATGATACGTCCACTTCACCTGTGGGCAAAACAATGTGACCATCCAGTGGCTTTGTTTTGAATTTAAGTAGGACTGTGATGCTGTTGGGGAGGTTTGCAACAGAGCAGTCTGAATGAATGAATGAAATGGTACATAACATTCCGTCTGGGCTCTGTGATGTGATGATAACAGTTGAAAAAAAATTAGACCAATTATCTGATATTTTGTCAATTTAACTTTTGTTTTAGGGGTTAAATTCCGCTGAGATTTGGATCTCTTTCAGGGGAGTCCTGGTCCCAGAGTGAAGCCTATGTCCATGTTTTTTGTATAAATAATATGAAACACTTGTATTGGAGTTAAATCAACAAATATCCTCATTATTATCATATAAAAGTCTTTATAAATCATTAACTCATTTATCTGACAGCTATTCTGTAGTTTGAGGTTAGCTCTCCTGAAGATAGTGCACATAGTCTGTATATATAAATGGACATAACTAACCCACTAGCCACTTCATTTCAAATAGGAAGTGAGCATGGGGTTGCCTCTGGCTCCATTGATTCTAGTTCCAATTGACTTTACAATAAACATTTGTCACCCCTCTTGCTTTTACTGCTGCAGTGAGCCTTGTCATTTTGGTATTAAAATGTTTGTATTATGGGTATTATGGGTGGTGGTGGTGGTGGTGGTGAATTGCCTATTGACACAATGGCAGTATGCTATGGAAAAAAACTACAGCAAGTACTCAGAAACATGTCACTCGTATCAGTTTAAAAAGTAAACGCATTCCTTCAGTTTAAAAAAAACGAAAACTTGTACTTGACCTATTGGACAATTGTCAGGCATTGTATTAAATTGGCGGTTTTGTCCGTGTCGAATACCTAATTTCACTTCCATATTGACCTCTCTCCGTCATGTGTGATGTACGTCCCTGGGCACCTGTTCACATCGGCACCCTGCGTTCTGTTTGATTACACCATCGTTTTAATGAAAATCTCTGATAATTAAAGTCCGTCAGTGCTCCGGGACAGTGCCCTAATCAGGCCTAATCATGTTTTCCTTGTAATCATTGCTAACCACTCTGCCGATAGAAGTGCGTGAGTTATGGAGGCACAGGCTAATTATAGTGAAGGTCAGGATTCCCGGGGTCGACAGGTGAACAGGCTAGACGCTAATTGGACGTGTTGTGCCGACTGGCGGCTAATAAAAGCTCTGGTGTGAAGGCGGGGCGTGTGAAAGGCCAGTCTCATTACAAACTGGACCCCCATAACGCCTGGCATCCCACACAGTGTAATAATAAACTATTCTCCGTATTAGATCACTGAATGGATTTTTGTTACGTGATAGAAGCAATGACTGGATTGATTGACGTCACAATATTATAACATTTTTAGAAGAATTTAGTACTTAACTACTTACTTAAGGAGTTTTGGGTTACAAGTTAAAGGTTGTATAGAGGATTTTCCAAGGAACGAGAAATCCAGCGACTGTTTGTCCTTTTTCAAATGTTGCACATGCGTGAAACCACCCCCCCTCCCCTACAGCTCCCTACGTAGAAACGCCTCCCGCCTCCTCCTTACGCCAGAAACAGGTTTGTTTACAGCTGGTGAGCTGCACATGACTTGTAAACAACTAACTACAGTGTTGGTTAGGCAAGGCGGAGAAGTGAGGAGCGGTGTGAGCGGGTGCGCGGACATTTCGTGCGCGGACGAGAAGTGAGGAGTAGGGAGAAGAGCGGAGCAGGGAGAGAGGAGAGGAGAGAGGAGAGGGGAGCGGTGCGCGGAGATTCCGTGCCCGGAGAAGTGAGGAGCAGGGGGAAGAGCGGAACGGGCAGCGGGGAGAGGAGCAGGAAAGGGGTTCAGAGTAGGGTGCGCGGAGATTCAGTGCGAATGAACTAGCTACAACACGCAGCAGCAAGCGGACTCTTTCTTTGCCTTGAAAATTACGTTTTCAGACATAGGATATCGGTTTCGTGTCCTGAAAAACGTTTGTCTAGCTCTTGGAAATAAAGTACGTTTTCATAATAAGCAGAAGTGACCTGTCCAGGAGTAATTTGGCGACCAATGCGTCAGTCTTTAGACCCTGCGTCTGCTTCAGTTGCGCCATCGCTGGAACGAATCTCCAAGAATCACCTTAGTTTGACTTTGCTGCTTTTCCCCTTGTCTTCTTCTTTCAGCAATCTCAAAAACAGACTTTCTTTTGCGGCTAACTGCTCCTGGATTCTTGTCTGCCATTGCAACAAACTTTGTGCAAACTGCGAGGAAGATATAGGTCAAAAAAAGCCGCTAAGAACTGTTGCGTTGGTGGAGTAAACAGCGTCTGTGTGGCTTGCGTCTGTGGACTGCGTGACAGGCGTACGTAAACCACGTACCGGCGGCGCGCAGGCAAGTCAGTTACGCTAGAAACGTAGGGAGATTGATTGACAGCCTGTCAGCTAACAGATAACGAGGCAGTGTCGTTATCTATTGGCAAATGTTTTGATGAATTTTTATTCTCTTTTTTTTGGTCATCATAATTACAAGGCTACTGCACCTCTATAATGCTATCATTGACAATTTGAAACAAAAAAAAATCCTCCATACAACCTTTAAGGTATTAAGTAAATTCAATACAATTTTTGTTCAGGCCTTATTAAGGCCGTGGTTAGAGTTCACCATATTTAGCATTTTGAATCATGTTAGAATTGATTTCTGATCAAATAGTAGTATAATTCATGCATAATCCCTTCGTCAGAGTTTCCGCTTTATGGTGTCATCAGGTGGTAATACAGGAAATGCTCCTCTGTGTTATTACAGTCCATGCATCTTCATTTTTATGCTCAAACTGCTCCAAGCCATTCACAACACAGCCAACCCACTTAGAAGCTTTTAACCTGATTTACACTGCACCAGGGTTCACAAGATCATTTCAGCATATGAATGTAGAATTGACACTGTATGTAAGTTATCATTTAATTGAAAACAGTGTATTTATTTAGTTACATTAAATCAAATGTCACAGTGTATTACTAAAATAAACATAAAAGCTGATTGTACTCATTATGATCCTGCTTTAAGGTTATTGTGTCAGGGGTGTAATGGCAATCAATATTATTGTTTCTTCAGCAGTATATTGTAATTCCAAATGTATTATAGTGACTATTAAAGTGACCAAAAAGTGTACTGTTAATGTACTTTTTCCTTGTGTGTTATAGGTGGGGCACACAGGGGGACTTTGTGACCACTCACCCGCTGCCTTCAGTCAAAGTGAAGCTGTTCACCGAGAGCACCGGGGTTCTGGCTCTGGAGGACAAGGAGCTGGGCCGGGTCAGTGCTCTTCCTGCCTGTAATCTATATACTGTATATCCTATTTATCCTATATCTATATCTAAAATGAAATGTCTGTTACTGGGTTTTATTTCCTTTTACCCCCCACCTGACCTCCTCTCCCTCTGCGGGCCCCTCCCCACAGGTGGTCCTGAACCCCACCACCAATGGGCCCAAACAGGCAGAGTTTCATCGGATGGTGGTCCCCAAAAACAGTCAAGACTCAGAGCTGAAGATCAAACTGGCTGTTCGAATGGACAAGCCTCCCAACATGAAGCACAGTGGGTGAGTTTTTCTACTAACAGGTCTCAAATGTTAGCTTTACACAGACCTATTATCATGGTGCATCATTTCACAACTAAAGCAACACCATATCACTTTCTGAAGTTGGCACGTCTTCTGCATTATTCCATGGAAATAAAAAGTCATACTTGGTAACATTTTCCACAGAAATAAAAACAATAAAAATATGTTTTATGCCATACTGTGGAATGTTACAGCCAACATTTCCATGCAGGCAGGAGGAGGCTTCCTGGTCCTCCAGGCCAAATAACAGCCAGGGTTTGTGGAGAGCAAGCCCACTCATAGTGAGGATGCTTTGTTTTTTTGTAAGCTTCAGTGCAAAAAACATGCTTTTATTTGTGTGTGTCTGTTTTGTTAGCAAAAATTTACACAGTGAAGCTTTAAAGATCCACCTGCATGACTTCATGGAGATCATATTGCTTTTCTTGGAATGTTCCACAGTATGGCATTAAATGTACTGTAATGTATTTCTCCATGAAAACAAGCACTGCACCGGGCTATTTTACAGGCCAGATGTGTGGAAAGGCGAGCCCATTCGCAGGTTTGACATATTTTGTTTCGGATAAAACACCTGTATTTGAGTAAATGCACAAAGCTAAAATGCAAACAATAGCATCACCATGGAGACAAGCTGAGGGCAAACCTCCACCAGAAAAATTAAATACATATAGCCCATGTCTATTTAAATAATCTACCCACATTGTGTTTTCTAAAGCAAAAGTATTGCTCTATTTGAATTTAAATCAGGCTGGTGATTTTTAATCTTTAAATAGTTATGTATTTGCTTTACCTCTCATCGAGTCATCTCTCATCCCTTTGAAAATGAAAGCGCAAGTCAAGTGAATTAAAAGCCACCATGGCATCAAATTGAAGTGCTAAGGCGTTTGAGGAGGATAGTGAGGACCGACAGCTCCCTCTGTTGGTTAAAAATTACAAACGCTTAAACTGCTTTATGTGTTTACTGGAAATGTTTGTTTAACATGTATTTTAATTAATTAATTAAACTGTGCAACTACTTTATTGCTAATTTATTTTCTCTGAGCAAAATGACCCCCAAAACAATTTAAATATTAACAGAGTCATATGTTATTGATTGAGAAAGTTTGTGCTTTGTTAGAATGGATCCTTTTTTCCACCAGATAAATCAAATCTACATATATGAATCATCCTTGTTGCATATATGCATTTTTGGCTTTCTGAAATCTTTCTGAAATCTGTTTTTGTTCAGTTTTTCTTCTTTTGTACCAGCAGATGGTGCCACAGGGTTGAATTTAATGGTTGGCAATTTCACGTGGGGCTTTGTCCAGTTTTGGCCAGTTAATGTTCACATAGTTTGAGAGAAAAACAAATGCCAGAATGAGTAAATAAAGTCTGGCTGCAGCTGCTGTATGAGGTTTGATATCCTACACTTCATAAAATCATATTTAAAACCTTGTGAACAAATTACGATAGCTACATGACAAAGTTGGATTAGTTTAAGGGTACAATTTGGGTTAAGGGACGAAAATTGCGTATTTAACATCTCTGACTACAACCAGACCTGTGTGTGGATTGTAACTTTCATCTTATCAGGTAAACACTGTCAAATTAAGTGGTTTTGACTGCAATAGAAGTAGTATTTTGTTAAGATTCTGTTAAGAAGAACACACACACACACACACAAAAAAAACATTACGCATTACACTACAACTGATGATAGTAATAAAAAAGAAAATTTCTATTCTGTAGTAGTAGCGCAAGATGTTGTTGTTACTTTCTCCACTAGGGGTCAGTGTTAGACTTCACTTGCAAAGTCTCTGTCTCCGCAACATCAGGCCTAGACTCAGGGCGCCTCACGACACAAAGTCACCATCGGTCTTTTACTTGCTCCAGGTGGCTCCAGAGTGAGCCTCATCTTTGTATAACTTATTGAAATATCATGGCCTTGATGAACACAGTCCATTCAAGCTGAGATCTAATACAAATGCTTTGTATATGTTTAACTTAAGACATGAATAAAGAAAACACAAGTCAAAAAAAGACAACATTTTCAACCTGTCAAATTTTCAGTGTGAATTTCAAAAGCACAACCAATCTATCAACGATAAGTCAAAAGAGCAGCAAGGACTTACTTGTTTTAACTACACAATCAAAAACACTTATGGTTCAAAAATGACAACCGATGACACATTGAAATGTTAAGACTTTCAGTATGTCTTGCCCATAGACAGTATAGTATGAAGTGGCTCAATTAGGATTTAAACACCAACCTTCCAGCAATTATCCTGCTATATTATTCAACCCAATGTAAAATCTACACAGGAACAATAGTATTTTACCATGATAACTGATAACTATAGAAATACTCCTCAACAAAGACCATGTCATGAATGAATGGAACCACTTGCCAAAGAAAATAAAAGCACAAATGGTAAATGGTCACATTTTTATTTAGTGCTTTTCCACCTTGAAGGCACTCAGAGCGCTTTACATCAAGGAACCACTCACCCATTCACATACCAGTGTACACAGACACTGACCAAGGACCAAGGACATAACAACAATACTCATCTGTAGGAGCAGGAATCACACCACCAACCTGTGGGTCAGTGGATCTGATCTACTGATGATGTTTATGTCAAGAGTGGGATTTGAGCCACAAACCTTCAAATCTTGCATGTGTAATTATGGCATGTACCATTCCTGATGTATGAATAATTAACATTTAGAAATAACTTGAATAATGTTATTTACCAAACGCCGGAATGTTGCGAACACTCTTCTCATCAATCAGTTTAATGAAAAACAAGAAAGTACATAGTTTTAATGCTTTTCTAATTATGCTATACTTGGTTTGGTGGGATAGTACCTGTGGTAAATATTTATCATAGTTTTACATCAGTTCAATGAAAGAAAAAGTTGAAGAGAAAATTACAAAAATACAGGAAGTAGTGATGAGTTCTAAAACTGAATCTCTCTACCTGTGTCATCAGCACCAAAGATTTCATCCAAAATGCTGGCACAACTCACACGTAATCTTTTCTAGAAGATTAATTTAAGAATGGTGTTATCGTTTCTTTTTATTAGTCATAACCAGTCGTAACTATTGTGTGAATTTAGATCATTGTTAATATTATGGTTTCGAGGTGACAGAACTGAAATTACCTCTATGTATGTCATATCTGATGCCCAGGTCCAACCAGGAAGTAAAATGATAAATGTGACCAAAATTTGGCTTTTAGTTAAATATTAAATATATTCATTTTAACTATATTTGATGAAATTAATAGTCTAAGCTGTCATAAGGACTTTAACCCTTTTCACAAATGTTATTGGCACATATAGTGGATACGAATTGTTTACTACATCAGTTTAAAGGTAACACCACCATACTTGAACAACTGACGAAAAAGGCAAAAGTTTCCTTCTAAAATATGCTGTGCAATGGGACACATGGGATTTATTGTACTCAGTAACTCCTTTGGTTTAAAAACTAGCTAATTGCAATACATGTTACAATTATACAAGTACAATTCCTCTAAAATCCTAATACAGTAATGTGGATGATGTTAATTAGTTACTAGGGCTAGTTGAAAATTTTGGTTTCTAATAGGGCTGGGCGATATGGATCAAAAAATATATCTCGATATATTTTGCTATATCTCGATATACGATATATATCTCGATATATGTTCAAGAAAAAATAACCCCCTAAAACTATAAACTGCAAAAACAAATCTGCCAAATTCCACAAGGTCCCTTTTTTTAAATTGAAGTGTAAGAGGTCGACAGTTTAACATTTAAGAACATTTAAGATTACAAAAAACCCTAATTACATAAATAATAATTTAACTGTAAAATAAAAGAAATAATACATATTTTCTTTTTTCATTCATAAATAAAATAACTCAACACAAGTTCATCTTTGCATTAACTCTGTTATCCAGACCATAATCATAACCATGAGCTCATTTAGCAGAAGAAGCTCAGGATGTTCCTTATTTCAATAGATCCATGTTATTATCCAGCAGTAAGGAGCTCTGAGGTTTAATCCCACAATCCACTGCAGATCAAACCCAACGTTTCCAAACACTATTGTACAAGTGACACTGCAGCAGATTATTAATTTAAATATTCTGCATAAATAAACTTTACATTGCTAAACTTTACAATATATAAAGCATAACGACTCTAGAGCCACATCAGCCTGTTTGCGATAATAATGTGTTTAATGCAGTTTTGCGCACGTGCGTTTACATTTTACAGAAACGAAACTTAAGCGCATGGCTCATTTGCATAAACAGCGCACTTCTCCTGCAGCTCAGCTCGTTTAGCTTCTTTCTGGCTAAAGGACGCGACTCGGTGCAATATGAGGATGTGCTGCTGATGTTCTTGTCTGTAAATGGTGGAAAAGGTTCGTGGTGCTTGAAGTTTTTCACTGGCACCAACTTTCGGTGTTCACGGCGATAGTGACGAGTGAAGGAGACACGAGCGAACAAAATCAGGGAGGCGGAGGCGACGAGAGAGAAGACAAACAAGTGAAGTGGCGAAATCAGAATTGAATATAAGCATTATATCGATATATACGATATGTCAGAATTCATATCGAGTTTAATATATTTAAATATATATTTAAAATATCGATATATCGCCCACCCCTAGTTTCTAATACAAATTTTGGTTGACTAAGACTTCACCTCTGTCTGCATCCTTACACAGTTATACCCACTGATGGATAATTTTCAGTGGGTGGTTTTCAGACTCTAGTGTAGAATATAACGATACCATGATATCAGATGGGGGACAAGAGACAGCTCTCTCTGTTCATTACATTGAACTTTATGATGAAATATCTGAAAGGTAAATTCACAAATGTTGAATGTAATCATTTTTATTAATAACTAGTAGGGATGCACCAATGATGTCTAATGTTGATACTTTGGCTTTAAATATCTGCCCATACCCAATATGCACCAGTACTAGGGCAGAGACTGAAAACACCATGCATTTCCTTTAAAAACAAACAGCATAAAATAAAAAATTATCCAAATGTGTTTTGCAACTACAGAACAGCTTAAAGTTAAAATACAAGTTTAATATTATGAAATATTTTGGGCCAACATTCACCCCTAAATCGTTGTATTACACCAGAGATATCTTGGAAATGGATCCACCAAATTTTAAAATATCTGTGCCAATATATCCGATGCCAGTGTTGTATCAGTGCATCCCTAGTAACTAGACTGTAAACTGAACTTACTGTATTACAAAAACTAAAATAACTATAGATTTTTAGCTGTCCCCATCTTGCTTTATAGAGTATTGTGATGTCATCTGAAATGGCAGCCATACTCCAGACTGTCCCACCTCCTCCTCCTCTCCCTCAGGCAGCCTTGACTGGACTGGGCATAGGGCTGAGGCAGAGCTTGGAGCACATTGATTTTCCTCACTTGCACTTGTGTGAGTCCCACGCTTTAAGCCGCTCGGAGCATGCATTGATCGGAAAGGGCGCGCTGGTCATTCTCCCACCTCCCATTCACGCTCGCTGACCAACCGCTTTGTGCTTTTCAGTCGGGAGCCTTCGAGAGGGGCAGGATTCAAGGCTGACAGTCGGCTGCAGTGATAGTCAAAGCGAGGCTGGTTCAAGGGTAGAGCTGCCGGAATAATACAGCTGTAAAAGTGAAATTGTAATGTGAATGGCAGCAATTAGCCAAATGTCTTCTGAAAAAATATTCTGTTTTATTCTGTTTAAAACCTGCTAACTCAGTTTAGACTATTACTTTGTAAATTAGACAAGCTTGTTTACAGTATATTAGAGATGAGTAGATTAGTTAAAAAATATACACAAGTAAGAGTTATTTTAAAATAATATTACTTAAGTACAAAGTAGTGGTCCAAGAAATCACTCAAGTAAGAGTAATTTAAAGAGTAACCTAACATGATAATCTTATAATATAAAATTAGCAATTTTTACAGCATGGACACAAAAATGAGAGAAACTAAATCTTATCTGAATGAGCGGTTTGGTTCAAATCATTTCATGCTGTCATTTTCTCACTTGTAGACTTGCTGTTAGAAAAGTACGATGAAAAGTACAATTTCGTTAAAAAGTTACTCAAGTACTATTCGACTCTGGAGTATATGGTTGGGTAACAATTTTGAATCAGCTGGCCATGTCCAACCAGGAATTAAATTATAAGCTTTGGAAAGATAGACAAGATTGTTTTAGATAAAGCTTAAATGTATGTACATGTGTACACTGGACATGTCAAACTTGTCAAAATTTGGCCCTCAGTATAATTATATTTGGCCCGCCAGATTATATCAAATATTGTATTGTAGTAGAGCTGGCCCGCCAGTCGCAGATAGGTTATAGAGACATTATTTATTTAAAATTGTGTTATTATTTTATATTATGCTTGTTCTGGATTCAATGTGTAAGGAAAATTATTATTAAACATTTATTTTAATAAGAAAAGGTTTATATATATCAAAAGAAGAGAAAACATGCAGATTTTGTTGAAATTTTTCAATAAATATTTAGTTTGGCCCATGACTTAATCCCAGTTTCTAATTTTGGCCCTCTGTGAATCTGAGTTTTGACATCCCGATGTACACTCTTAAAAAACACACCTAGTTAATCTTAAACTGTTGGCAGTGGTCCAGTGAAGTGTTGGAGTCCTTTTCACAGTTTCACAGAGACCAGTGTGGAGTTTTGCCATAATGGTAAAGCTAATAGCAACAACCAACATGACTTATTTTGACCTCAAGAATGGCTTATACAATATATAAGTATTGGCAAGACAAATTTAGCTCAGATACAAAGGGAAAAATCCAGTAGAGAATTGTGTAATCTAACTTGTCATATGGCAGTTGTTTCTGTACTGAACAAATGGTGGTACTTGCTTGTGTGCTTGTGGAATGAAACAATTTATTTTGAACTATTTTTAAACAGGTTTTAATGGTGAATTGGTATTTGTGCCAGATATCTCCGACAAGTTTAAAAATATGGCAACTTCTTTCCCAATTTGCTCAATTACACAATCATAAGCAATCATATCTTTTACTCTAGCTAGCGTTTTTCTGTTCAGTTTGAAATAAAATGTTGAAAGAAATGTTATAATATAATTTAAAAGCAATGCCAGAAAAGCTTAGTACAGTAAACCAATATGGGCAGGCATTTTATGAATTTGGACCAAAGTGCCTCATACAAAATCTAAAGTGAAATGACTTAAATAGGATGGAAATGACAACATGATGTGGAACGTTACTAATGTTGGTGCATATAAAAGAAAATTGTTTCTTAATGTGATTTGGTATGTTTTACAGATATCTCTATGCTTTGGGTCAGAGAGTTTGGAAACGCTGGAAACGAAGATATTTTGTTCTTGTTCAGGTGAGTTTGTGAGACGTGATCTGTCATGTGCTGTAACTGGTGAGCTGGCCAAAGGACAAATGGTTAAAATATATACCTGTCTTATTTGATTCTTAATAGGCATGAGAGATAGAGCAGTTATTCAGTACCTTTTTTTTTCTTGCTGCCCTGTTTTGTGTATGCCTTTTTGGAACAAACTAATGAGTAAACATGGAAATAAAAGAAAGTAAGTTTTGCCCCAGTACTGACAAATTGTAAAATTAGAACGCAGAGTCAAAAATGCCAAGGAAAAAACAAAACAGGAAGTAATGTTATCATGGATGTGCTGTTATCATTCTAGGTGACGTTAGCATTAGCATTAGGTTTCATGACATAACAGACAAAAGAAAAACACGGAGAACTTGACAATATGCACTCAGGGTGAATAATTTGTGAACCGTTAACCATTCAGTTGTCAATACTTGTTCCTTTCTCCCGTCAGGTGAGCCAGTACACGTTTGCCATGTGTAGCTACAGAGAGAAGAAGGCTGAACCCCAGGAACTAATGCAGCTAGAGGGATACACTGTCGACTACTGCGACCCCCAACCTGGTAACATCTAACATATTGAACACTCATTCTTCAAATTATGTTTAAACAAAACTCTGTCTGAACCCTAACTAACCCCAACCCTAAAAAATAAACTAAGAGTGGAGACATGCACTCCTACTGGTTTAAAACAGTAGTAGACATACTGTATAGAATAGATCGCACTTTATGATGGACTAGTGTTAGCTGAAGGATTTGTGGCAAGGTAGCTGAGTGGCTAGCACTTATGTCTCACAGCAAGAAGGGTCTGGGTTCGATCCCTGGGTCGCCTGGAAATTTTTGCGTGGAGTTAGCATGTTTCTCCCCGTGTCTGGATGGGTTTCCTCTGGGCGTTCCGGTTTCCCCCATCAACCCAAAACATGGTACATAGGTCTCCAGGAAGACAAGAAGATAGCTGAGGTCAGTTAAATACAATTAATCTGTTAAACTGCCCAGGGACTACAGGTGGAATCAACCTGGTACAATGCATCTCTCCTGTTAAGGTTAATGTATATTGTGCACTGTCCCTGTCTCATTTAATTAATAAATAAACAAACAATTTAAGTAATAATAGCTAATCCTTACCTGTTTGCTTAAAATTAAAAGGCTGTTTGTAATCAGATACACCTAGCTATAATTAGGGCAGTCTTATGTGATGTCACCAACTACTGGAAACTGCAGAGGCCACTGAAGGCAGCACAAACTTAGATTTTTCTAGAGATAATGTTATTAGTGTCCACTTGACAGAATTCAATCTTCTTTTGCCATGGTTTCAAAAATAAAATCAGGCAACCCAAAGAGAACAGCTTGAATAAAATAACTTCAATGCATAATCTTTTTGTATATTGTATTCAGCTTTTCTCATGGCCTTTTCTGTCTCACCCAGGTCTACAGGGCGGTCGCGTGTTCTTCAACGGTGAGGGAGGGGGAGCTCGTCATGTTTGCCTGTGACGACGAGCAGGACCGGGTGCTGTGGGTGCAGGCCATGTACAGAGCCACGGGGCAGTCCTACAAACCTGTGCCCCCCCTACAGAACAAGACCCTCAACTGCAGAGGGCCCAACCAGAAGACTACATCGCCCATCAGTGAGTTCAGCATAGAAAAAGAAATTGTAGCACTACTCTTTTTCATGTACTTTTTGCTCTTCTTACTCATACGTTATCGAATTACCTCTCTGTTGACCATAACTTCACACGGTTTGTCCACAAGCGTACCTTTTCCTCACTTCCCTCTCCTTCCCCAGCTTCCTGTTTACCCTCACATCACTTCATTTTTTTTTTTTTAACTCTTGTTCATTACCCGCGCGAAGGACCACCGCTCCTCCTCCGCGTAGTCAAGTACCCCTCTCCGGGAGCCGATTACTGCTACATTTGTGTCATTTGTCACGGCCCCTTCTCGTTAGCTGCTCGTTAGCCGCTAATAGCCCAGACTGAAGCACTATTAGCGGAGAGGTGCTGACACGCTGTTCGCCGGAGGAAATACAAGGTGTCCCTGAAATAGCTCTTAACCGCGTGCTAAGTGTCTGCGCTTGTGATATCAGCTTTAATATTGTTGAACTCGCATCGCAAATCACTCTATAGTTATGAAAAAAACATACAAAATAAGCAGGTTAAATACCAGTAATGGCCACGTGTGTACACAAATAAAAACTGCGCTATATTGTGAGATTAATACAGCGGCCCCATCTTGACTCGCTGCAAATAGTGTTGAGCGTTTTAATGACTTGTTCTCGTGCCACATTTGAAGGTTAATAACTCCGGCGGTAAACAGGTGAGACAATAAGAGCAAATGGTTGGGCCTTTGTTTCCAGCTCAGGGCCTTTCCGAGGCAGCAGATATCGAGCGGCTTTTAAGGGGAATAAAGATGTTTCAGTCATGGCGGAGATTGTCACTTAACGGGCTCCGACACAATGGCTGTACTCGCCACTCATGGTCGTGCGTTTAGTCGTGGCCAGCGTCGATTGGCAAACATTTTCCTCATTCAGCGAAAATCGATGAAGTCAAAAAGGGCAAAGGTAAATAAGTTACTCGAAGTGATGACTTGAAATGAATGAGGGTTGTTACAATATACTACTATATGTTTACTGGGAGCAGGTAGAGTAGCCAAACTGTGTACGAGTAAGAGTAATGTTACTTCAAAATAATATTACTCAATTAGAAGTACAACGTAATGGTCCAAAAAAATTACTCAACTAATAGAAAAAAGTATTTAGGAAAAATGCTACTCAAGTAAGAGTAACTTGAAGGTGCACTATGTAATTTTTCGGTTGGGGGTCCGTCACCTTCTTGTTTCTATGGATATGTCATTGCTCAGTTTAGAATGTTCCACAGTATGACATTAAACAGCACTACGTCACATTTCTGAAGTTACAGGAGGTTTTATCTTGCAAAAAAAACTGTAATTCTGAGCCGGGTTGCCTCTCTATAAATCTGACCTATAACGTGGTCTGGTTTGGTCCCCATGAAGATAGAAAGGTTTAAAGCCATACTGTGAAACATTCCATACAAAACAATAACATTTCCATTAAGAAAAGCATTTGATGGTTCCTCCTCCAGAAAAGTTACACAATGTACTTTTAAAGAGTAACTGTCAGCATGTAACATCTGATTTCTATGTTATTATTGTTGTAGTCTTACAGCAGAAAGAGTAACCAAAGTTTATCCTAAAGTAAGAGTACTCTGAAGAGTACAGTAAAATATTATGCTTGTCTCAATACAGATGTTCTTTCTTTTCTTAAAATACAGTATTGCATTAAACTTCATGTATCTCTAGCTCCATGGAGACTAGTGACACTACCAAGGCCAAATTGCAGGCTTGATCTGTGGAAAGGCGATCCCATTCACAGTAAGAATGCATTTAAACAATAAAAAGGAATAAATGTGAGATGAGTTAAATGCCATACATCTCCATGGAGACAAGCAAGTGGCAGACACTTGACTAGAGAAGTTACATAGCTCACCTTTAAGATTCTTGAATATGTTCATCAGGGCAGGTGAGCAATGTAAAAGGGTGGTGAAGAGTAAAGGGAGACATTCAACACAGCACTTAACTCCTGGTGCTGCATAGTGTAGCATAGTTATTTGAAACATTTTGGTACAGATTTGAAGAATAAAGTTTGCAGCCATCGCTTTGTTCCTGCCTTCTTTATGGATCAAGGTTCAGACAGGTGAAAGTGGAGCTGATGTCCCCTGATGCTGTAGACCTGGCCTGGTCCATTCCTGGTCTAGATCTTGGTCCAGGTCTTGACTGGGCCTTGAGGTGTCCACACATGTTTACATCTGTCAGTCTGGTTTGTGAATAGGAATGTACTGAGTTTGACAGTCTGTCTGCTTCCTTTACTTCTCAAAGTCACTCACTGTTGCCAAGGATGAGCTATTGTATTTATAAAAGTTCTCCCCCGCACTAAATAAACTACATTTCCAGACTTTTAACAACATTTTACTGTTTAATTATCAAAACAAACATGAACACACTGCCAAAAATTTTACTGTTTAATTATTATTTCCAGTAAGCTGGCACACCTCTGTTTATTAGCTGCTTTTGGCTGTGATATTTAAAAAGGCCAAAAAGGTAGTTAAATATAACAATGGCACAGGTAGGAAGTTTAATTTAAATCATTTGTTTTACAATAAGTGTACTCTATGTGTAACATGGGTACAGGGCCTTTAAAACACTACTGTGGATCTTTCTCCAGTTGGTGTACCAGAAAGGTCTGCAGTGCAACAGTGCCAGTGTTGAAAATCACTTAAATTCCCCTTCTCCTCTTGACATCATTTTGCGCTGGATGGCTCTGTCCCTGTATATTTCCATCTGGTTCCTGGTGCTGACATCTCATCTCCGCTCGGACAGGCAGATCGAGTCTCTCTCTGTGTCGATAACCGTCCACCATCTTCAGCACGCCCTGTCACAAGGATGTGACTGTCGTCGTGACGATGCCAATGGAGCAGACATGAGACAGATATGAAGAGATTGAGCCTCAACTTCAGATTCAGGCTTTAAGCTCACAAGTAGAAATGTGTAGCTTTATCCATCATGTAATCTGACAATTTACCTCAAGTAGAACATAATACTATAATTCTATGTTAGAACCAAATGAAAAATGTGAATATTTTACAAAAGCAGGTAAAAAAAAGTGGCTGCCGGGGTGTAACAAATGTTTTACGATAGATAGACAGATAGATATTCATTCTGGATGTTGTAATTTTGAGTTCATGCACTCAGACATTTAAAAAATGTATAAATAAATAAAAATGAATGCACCAAAGTTGACTATTTCCCAAAATACAAAATTAATGAAAATAAGTGAGAAATCAAATGCAAATAATTTCATAATTTAATTGAATTTCAAAATGGAGAATGAATCAAAACTTAGTACTCAAATATATTCTCACTGACATATTTTAATGACGCATACATTACTAGTGATTTCAGTTGTCTTAATGTTTACAGTGGGCCAAAACTGATCACTTCTGCCAGGGCAGTAGAGGGCAGCACTGTACCTCTATAGGGCTGTTTATTCTGTTAAACCTTGGCACAAAAATACATAATTACTGGAAAAAACTGACTGGTGCTCTTAGACTTTTTTCTTGTTTGTTTCTTTAAATGAGAGAGTGCTGTAGATTACTCATCAAAACAGTTATATCAGACAAAATTCAATTATTGTTTTAATTTCAAAGACATTCAAACTTAAAGATAGATTTTAAAAATAGCTATAAATCACCAGTGTTATTAGTATACTTATTGACAGTTAATATTTTTTTTATGTTTTGAGGTCTACAATGCAAACACCTTCATTTGACTATTTAAACATTCCTATTGGCAACCGCCAGTCAACATTAACACATTTTACAACAACTTTTAATGTGCTGTATGTATCTAATTTTTACAGTCTTATAAAACGTGAAAAACAAAACTAGTTCATTTTAAACTATAGTGGACCAAAGTTATTCTCCACTTTCCTAATTTATATCCAGAACCATAATTATTCGTGGTGATGAATGCTTGGTCCTTGGGAACATTACTTCCTGGTTTGCTTTATGACAAATTTTGAAACACGGTATATTGCTACAGAGATATATTGCGTTAAACGATAATATTAGAACTACTTCATGCCACTTAACCACTAACACTAGTGCAAGATAATCCCAGTAAACATTTTTAAATAGCCAGTATCACTCAAAAGGCTTAAGATGCAACAAATAAATTCTGTAGCAGAATGAAGCAATAATTAGCCACAGAGTTATTCAACCCTCTACAACTCAAATATTAGGCCTAATGCAGATAGCACACAATGATCTTATTATGACCATATAAGAGCTTATTTTACAATTTATCTGTGCTAGCAAAACAAATATGACTTTATTATTTTTATTTTTTTTATTTAAATCAGATACAGCCCTATTAAATAGTACATTAACATAGCAGTCTTTATATTTGCCATTCCGTATGTTTGACAGCCTGACACCATTTTCACCGCACTGATCTTGTCCATATCCAGTCTACTGCAGCTTTCAGCAAATTGCCTTCAGTAAAGTCCTTGTAACAGTCACATTCCTTAGATTTCTGCAGCAGTGAACAATGTTGAGCAGTTAGAGTTTGATCAGCCATTTCTCTACTTTCACTTTTTGAAAAATGCCCTTTTATTCACCTTCACAAAAGACATTGGACATAGCAGTAACTACTAGCTGTGCACACTATTTTAATTACAGCATTCAATAGCTCTGAAGTAAATGCTAGCTAATTAAAAAACAATACATTTTCTAGTATTTAAAATAATGAAAGTGACTTAACAAAATCTGAATCAAACTGCATAAGTACAGAAAAAGCTACATTCATTCCACAAGGAGGAAACTGCAGTGCTGCAACAGAAAGCACAACAGCAGCACTACAAATACTTATATCATATTAAAGGGGGTATGACTACTGATTTCATATTACTAAAACATAGCCTAGTTTAAAAGATAATATTTTTTAAATCTATCCTGCATTTTTGTAGTTTGACAGTTTTGGTGAAGTTATAATTTTACTTCCTGGTAGGACATGGCCTACACACACACAGGAATAGTACTGTAAGTTTTTAGAATTTTCGAGCTTGTCCACTGTATTTTTATTTTTTTTTCTATTTTATATTTTTATTTTTTTGTTATAGCCGTTAGTACCATCACCCATCCAAATTAGCTAATTATGAATAAGCCAGAGGGTATTAGCTCATACCAACACATCAACATGTCATGAGGTCAAAGCCTATTAAAAATGATCATTGGTATTGTAGACTCTTTCCTTGGGCTGGGTATCATTAAGAAGTTGCCGATACGATATATACCTTGATACATAGGCCACGATACAATACATGTCTTGATACAGTGCACTTTGGATTCATAACGATATACTTCAAATCAATTTGATATGGTTCAATAAAAAATAATGGCTAAATCATGGCTGTGATACTAAATTCTTTGTTAAACCACTTCTTGTGCAATGTTGATATGAACACGCCCTTTTTAATCCTCAAAACTGTGAAAATGTCAAAAGTGTTGCATAAAGAAGTTTCCTTCCACTAAACAAACAACAAAACAGTAGCGCTGTAACTAAATAATTTATTAAAATATACCAAAAAATACTGTTGGCGATATATCGATACAGCAGCCCACGATACCAATACTGTGTCATCACATTAAACGATAAGATATACCGGTATTTTGATATTTTTGCACACCCCTACTCTTTCCTGTTATATTTTTGTGTAATAATTATCCTGTCAAACTGGCATCTGAGCTAAAGTCCATTACATTACATTAAGTTAAGTAAATAATACTAATACAGTCTAAGCAGAATTTTAAAAAGCAGCAACTATTTAATCATATCACTGTATAAAGTTTTTTATTATTTCATGTTTTTTTCTAGGGTTGTCACAGCAAAAAAATATTACTTCCTGACACAAGTAGCCACAATAACTTAACCACCCTCATGGTTGTTATTATTATTTTTTAAATCAAAATGATATCCTCAAAGTATGAATTTCATGTGATTTCCTACCTAAACGGCGTTGTCAAATCTTCAAATGCCATTAGATTTTAGCTGAATGAAGCAATAACAAGCGTAAACACTCTGGCTCTGAATGTCCTCGTTTGACAAAAGTATCGCTGTAATTTTCAATGGCTTTTTTCTCATTTCAAGAGCAGAGCCTTGGAGTTCAGCATTCAGCCTTTATCTGCGAACCAGAGCGTGGCCTCTTGACATAACCTCTTCAAAACAAATCATGAGCTGGGTCGATGAATTTGGAAAATGACTAATACGACTCCATTTCCAGTGTCAGAAATAGAAGTGAACGTGATCTCCGAATACTACGCCATCTGTGCCAACACCCAACTCTCCATGCGACCCTTCACACCCCCCCCAGCCCAGAGCATAAAGCCCCAAAGTTGGACTGACACAAATCAACGTCACCCCTTCTTTGTGCATGTCCCAATCAATACTGCCCTGGGCCCCCCTCCTCTTCCTATCAGCGCTAATCTATATCTCTTTGTCTCCTTTGCTTTTCACTCTTCTTGGATTGCGCTCATGTCAACAAATTACATTAAGCACAACCCGGAGTTTTGTTGATAACGAATGTAAAATGACCTACATCGGAATGAGACAGCGGCGTCGGGAAAAAAAAAAGGAAAAAGCAGGCCACCAAAAAGAATGGACCGACCTTAAACTCCAAGGGCCAAATACAAGGTCGATTGGAAGTTGATTGTGGAGATTTCACTTTTGCTAACTGGACAAAGAAAAGAACCAAGACGCGAGAGAAGGAGGGGGCGGAGTACAGCAGTGTCTGAAAGCGTCCCGGCGGGCTCTTAGTAGGGAAACAAAAAACAAAATGGCAGCGTTGATAAAAAGCGCTAATGCTCGTCTCTGGTCCGAAGCCGCAGGCGTCGAAAGCGAGGGAAAGCCGAGTCGGTATTCTTCGTCTTTTGTTGGACCATGTGTCACCCTCGCAAACTTCCCAGCGCCAAATGTACTTCCACAATGCACGCAGAGTGGAGAGTGTTAGGCTTTTCATTTGGTGGGGCCATTAACAGGAGGAGCTCAAAGGGCTTGAAATGAACCCAGGTTTGCTCAAGCGAAGCCCCGTGCCACTTCGTCCTTTATTTTGCTCCCACTTTTGGGCTGTTCCTTTCTTCGTTGACCTCGAACCGGCATTTTAATCAGCTGCAAAAGAGCTCAAGTGTCGGAGTGTACAAAGCGAGACTCGGTGTCCCGTGTGGAGATGTTTACCACGGTAGATTGTCCCAAATGAGGACACATTGAAACACACGAGGCACAGCTGATTCTAATGGATTTTCATGTACGAAATGGGTTGTCATGGCGTTTATGATGCTGGATTGTACAACGACAGTGGTGGAAAGAGTACTGACATTTTGTAATCAAGTAAAAGTAAAGTTACATGGTTGAAAATATACTCACTTACAAGTACAGCAAACAGAACTGCAGCCACATTTGTTCTTATTAATTATGTAAAGTATAAAGCATGCATGAAAAATCACACTCAAAGTAGTTAAACAATGTTAGCAGCATTCTGAATCAAACTTTCAATAGAAACAGTTTAAATGTGAATGAAGTTGTGTGAAACCACAATCTGCATATTATTTGAACTCTAGCCAATGAGACCAGGCGATGCAGTGATGTTATGTGTCTTTGTAGGAAGAAGCAAAGACATTTCCTATGATTTTTAAATGTAATGAAGTACAATTACAAAGCTACACTACTGTGGGTATTTGTAGTTACTTTCACCCTTGTGTATACGTGTTATGTAGTGGAGAGATTTGTGTAGTATTTCAAATTTCTTTTTTGACAACAAACCATTTTAAGAGAACATAAAACATTTCATTCAGGTCTTTTCCTTCAGTTTAATTATTTTTTTGTGCAAGCTCCACCAGCCGATCGTTTTCCTTGCTTTGCATGATATGATCTACAATATGGCATTAAACTTAGCTATCTTCATGGAGAAAAGCTCCGTTGGACCAAGTTTACAGGTCAGGTCAGAGGAGAGGTGGCCCCAGTAACAGGAACAATAGTATTAAAAAACAAAAACGAAAAAAAACAAAACAAAAAACGTCCAATTGAATAAAACAAGGTAAGTTTGATGCCATACTTTGGAACTAGTTTAATCCCTCATTCTTCCTGGAGTGGTCCTTGTTTGAAAAGATCTCAAAGGTCATCTGGACAGTTTATCTTTCTATATTAAAGACCTGCATTGATGTAAAACCTTGACAGCACTGACATGACTACTCAAGAATACAGGGCTTAGGGAAGACATGTTGATTTGTGAAGTGTGAGTATTGTGATACTTCATGTACCTCGCCTTCCTGTAAATCACTTGATCAGATGCTTGCAGTATGTATGAGTGTGAAAATTGCTTTCAACCAGAGCCATATAGAGCTTTGACCCTTCATAATAAACAAACATGAAGAGCTTTCTCAGCACAAGAGCAGGATGTTGACTCTGAAGGATTCCTCCAGTGTTCCCTCTCACTCAGCAGCCATCTTGGTTCCTCTGTTACGGTGAAGTACTTACAGCATCACAGAGGAGCCGCAGCCAACCGAGGTGGGAACTATTAACCACACGAGCGAGAGCTGACACTGCCTGTGTGTTTACGCTCCAGTTCACTGCCACGCTCATAAAGAGGCGCCAACACATTTATATATCACCTCCAAATCGCCTGTATTCAACCCGACGCACACAAATCTGTTCAGACACTTGAGTGTGTCAGTCTGGAGCAGAAAACAAGTGCTTTCCATTTGTTCACGAGGAGAGACTGACATAACAGATCGGGTCAGAGCTAGAGCCTGTCCCGAGCCTCTCAAGTCCACTCTGCACCTTTGCCAAATCAGTTTGTTAAATGTAAATTTCTACACACCAAGACAGATGATTTGCAGAGGTGTAAGACAAACATCAAAGGAAACAAATGTTTTCATTGCCGTCTGTAGCCTTCCAAATCTTACATGATGAAAAAATTATTGTTATCTGTGACCATATGTGTGGAAAATAATAATATAAATGATCTGCCTCAAAAAGTTGGTTAATGAGATGTCCGTCGATGTGATAGTAAAGTTTAGAAGAAAAACAAACAAACCATGTTACAATATTAGGTTCAAAATACCTGTTGAAATCCACTAGTGTTAGGGATTGAATATCAAGATAATAGACAAATTTTGAATGCATGCATCTGTACATATTAAACTGCATCAGAATATGTTTCCATAGTAGATGATTAAAGATGCACTATGTAAGTTTTCTGCAGGGGAATACGCCACCTGCTTGTCTCTGTGGAAATGTGGAAATGTTTTGCCTGTATGCATTAAATCGGGCCTTATTAATGTTCAAAAATATTTTGAAGAACATGCTTTCTTACTGTTCTCACAGATCTGACCTGTAACTTGCCCTGGTTTGTGTCACCTGCTTGTCTCAATGGAGAAAAATAAGTTTAAGTTTCTTGACCAGCCAGAACCACACGATTTTAGAAAACTTTGCAAAGACGAGTGGATCAGGAGCTATATCTGGTCTTCCTGATTTTAGAAGGCGCGATTGACAGGTAGATTAACCAGTCAGAGATGCATGGTCCGTTCACGTCAAAACGTGGCTGTTAACATGTAAAAAGGGTGTGAAAAAAACAACATAAAGGACTGAGAAACAGCACAGATTTTTACAGAATCAAGAATTGAAGCACAGAACTATTACTTATCTCAAAAGAAGTTATTTATTTTGTTCTGAATGATATGAGAATTTTGGAGAGGAGGTATCTTCCGCATTTAAGGGACACGTTATACAAATTAGCAGCTGTGGTTGGATCATCTAAAAGTTGGACAGAGGATTTTCACCCTCTATGGTCTGGTTCAAATGCAATAAGATTATCATGGAGACAAGCGAGTGGCATACCATCCGCTTACATAGTTACATAGTGGACCTTTAACTGTATTAGTTAATCACCTTTATTCTTCATATTTTATTACTACTTTTTGTCAGGTTTGGACCCTTCCCAGCGCCAGGGAGTAGAGGGCCTCATCTCAGCTCCTCCGTCCCGCTTCGACCACGCTGCGCTGTTTACCATCTTACAGAAGCACACACTTCAGCACAGGATGAATGACTCCTTCTCCTGTCTGGTATGTCAACACTTTATACATCATAGACTAATATAAAGACATGAACTAAGGGAGTGTAACGTTCCTCTCCAGTCAAATGAAGCTCACAAGGCTAGCAGTTATAGGAGCGAATTTGGAGCCATATGAGGAATAGGAATTTATTTTTGAACAAAATTGTGAAATAAAACACTAGGATCATGTAGAGCAAACATGATGCAAACATTTTAATACCAAAATGACAAGGCTCACTGCAACAGTTACAGAGAGAGGGATGAGTTTTTCAATGTAAAGTGAACTGGATCCAATGGAGCCAGAAGTGCCCCCGTGCTCACTTCCTGTTTTGAAAGGACAGTTAACTATGTCCACTTATATATACAGTCTATATTATACATCTAATAAACTTTACTTTATAATAGTTTGGCCGTGGTATGTAATTAGTAAGAGACGTCAGAGTCTTCAGTTGTCCAGTAAGATGGTGGTGATGGTTTGCACAGGTCCAGACTCCTCCATCTCTTTAATAACACATACACAGAACCATTATTTATTCAGTGCAATGAGTTTTTCACAGCTTTGAGATCAGAGCAAAGTTTCAACATCAGGGTAATGCTCAAAACAACTAACCTTTCTTCTTTTTTGCTGGTGATAAAAAGATGCAGACGGCACACAGCTGCTTTTACAATATATCAATGCTCTTGCAAGACAAAGCTTTAATTTATTCAAAAATTTGTGTACAGCCCCTTTAAGTTAGTCCACCTATATCAGCTACTTTTTCTGTGTCTGTGTGTATTTTTGAACTATACAAAAGTTGTTATTTCCCTTCGCGAGCCATGCCGGGGCTGGATGAGTGTGTCTGAAGGCAGCCTGGTTAAAGTCTGCTGGGAGCCTGGGGGCTGTCTCACACTGATTGAGGGGATAAACACTCTTAATCAATACTTTCCAAATAGAAACATGACCCACACAGACCACTGCTGGGACAGTTCAATGGAAAACAAGAGAGGGGGGCAGGCTCAAGTGGACTGGGAGGGGCAGACATGCATGCTTTTTGGGTTACAACATCGATTCACCACTCCAGATCAAATATGTGGGTTTGATTCAGGAGTGCCCACAGGTTTTTAATTCTCAGATTGGCCTTTTATTGACAGCAAGCATAGAAGTGTTAAATATGGCCAGTGGAGAAAATACAAGAGAAAAAGCTGAATGTAATATGAGGAAAGAGGACTGCTATGTGTTAATATATATTTTTTAATCCATACATAAACACAATATGTCAAATAAACTTCTCTGAGCTTTTGACAGTTATAATAGTTTAATGGCCCCCATTTTATGCATGTTTATGTAATTTGTGTATTGTGCCTCAGTGCTTGGAAAAGTGTGCATATATTACCTTACTTGCAAATATTTTTTTAGACTCTGGGATATACGCTTCTAGCCTGATTCATCAGCCGGTTTCACTTTGTAGAAACCGTCTGACTTCTAACCAGTGTTAGAATTTGTTAACTCGACAGTAGGCGGGTACTTTTTTTATTTAACCAATTGCTACTATGTATGTAATGCATCGCTAACTTGGCTATCAGGTATTAAGCTTTTCCCAAATCCCGTAGAAAGAAGGGCAATAATGTCTTTCTCTTTGATAAAATTCACCGAACATTCTCTTTGTTCCGGCTTTAAATCCTTGATCTCGGGAAACGTTGCCAACACAGCATGTATGGCTCTTCACTGATTGGCTGGCGTCCAAACTCGCACTTCCGGGGTTTTTGCGAACCGTCTAGTGTATTCTGATTCCTGACCTAGTCGCTGGAGAGAAATGAAATTGAGCGGAGGCACTAGGTGGTGATGATATTGATATTTTTCAACAAGACCCAACTTGTGCGTCTAGTGATTAGTAAACAGTAAAGGGAAAACAACCAGGCCAAGTTACAGGTCTTAGGTCATAGGTCGCTGAGAAACGACCTATGATCATTGTGAAACTGCATGTTTTTCTATGCATTTTTACTATAACAATAAACACGCCATACAGTAGAATATTCCAAACAAAGCCATAACATCTCTGTGTAAACAAAACAGGTGACAGATCCGTCACCAAGGACACCTTTGAAGAGCATTTAACGTTCAATATCTGGTTTATGAAAAAAATGACCATTAAAATCCCTGTTTGTTCTAAACCGTCTGGAGGTGTAGCCTTTAAATGTGAAACGTGATGCTCCTGAGATGTTGTTGGAGTGACATCTGTGGGTCTTTCTTCTCCTACCTGTCTCTCCATCCAACTCTGCAATTAGACCGCTCCATTCAGCGCCCCCCACGCCCCTGTCCCCGTGGCCCATTGTCGAGGCCTTTTGGTGGGCTTTGTGCTTCAACCTGAGCCCCCTTTTTAACCACACGTCTGGAGAAAGGGCCTCCGTCTCCAAGTGGGGGACATCTGTTGAGAAGTGCTTAGGATTCATGACATAGCACCCCACATAGATGAACCCCACATTAACAAAAGTGATTAGTTAATATTGTGTGGTCTTTTAAATATGCTTAAAGGGCCTATAGCACTCTATTTTCTTATCCGTTTTATAATGCTGTTTCCTCATCAAAAACCTACCTGGAGTTGTGTTTTGTTTCATGACCATGCAAGGTAGAACCGAACATTTTGAGCTCTGTTCTAGACTAATAAAAGGTTTACTCAGACATGTGTGAATGAAACAAAACACAACCCCCTGTATGTTTTTGATGAGGTAGAAACATTATAATATGTTTTAAAGCTCACAAGAATCTATTTAGCATAATACAGGACCTATAACTTTAGACATCATTTTTAATATTCAACTTTGAACTCGCTACAGAATGGAAAATGTCTCACCTTTTTTTCTTGACTAGTTAAGAGAGTTTCCAATTGTTGTTTCTTCAAATTATTCTACTGGATGGAAAACTTTTTGGTTTTAGTCAGCAGAAGCTGAGGCTTTTTAACTTTTACATCTATTGTTTTTACTATACACTTTAATAAAACTATTGAACTATATAGTACAGAGAATGAAGTGAATCAGCTGTGCAATACCTGTGCATTATGCTCAGCCCAAATATTTAGAGATGGCTTCAGTGGTAGTCATCTGGACTTGTATCAAGACATTTCAGCTCCCATCCAGAAGCCATTTCCAATTGATAGTACTGGTTTGAGACACTGGGATTTATACACTTGATTTGGACAAGTCCTGTCTCAAACCAGTACCATCAAATGAAAATAGATAGATGAACAGATGGATAGATGGATTGATTCCAAAGGAAATTCAAAAATGGCTTTTGGATAGGAGCTGAAATGTCTTGATTACAAAAAGTACTAATGACTACCACTGAAACCTTCTCTACAATGGACCACTTCTGGACAAAGTACATATTACACTGTCTTGCAACCAAGCAATGTTTCATACTTTTTCTGAATATGTGATTTATATAATGTACTCATGTAAGAAACAAGTTATGTATGGCATGATCAACAAAAGGCCGACTGTATGTGTACCAGGAATTTGAACTAGAGCACTGGCTCATGTGAAAAGTGATTGCTATTTGTCTACCTAGATCTAGTTCAGTATCTGTGTATTGAGTGTTTTCTATGTATTTTCCAGCTTCTGAATTGACTTTTTCGACTCCATTATCAACAACAAAAAGATAGCAAGCCAGGGCGCTGTTCCTTGTCAGAAATGCACATCTCACAAACTGGTAACAATGAGCGGCCTGATCAATAGGGCCAGCTGTAGTGGTCAACTTCAGCATGAGTTGAAGTTCGATCAGTGGCAGGCTGTCATCATCCCAGGACCCCCTCCCCTCCCTCTCTCTCCTTAAACAGGAATGTAATGAAGCGAATGCAAAGAGGTCATGAGATCATGCTGTATGTGCACTCGACTGGACAACGTTTGACAACCAATATTTATACTTCTGCGTTTGGCTAATCCACACCAGGCTACGACGCGCCTCTGACCCACTTCTGCGGGACGGCCAGAAATAAGGGGAAAATCTGTGTTATAGTTGATCACTTCATGTATCTGTAGGAGACTAACCTTTTGTGAATTCAGCACCACAATAACATCTATGCCTTTAGTACGTTAACCGTTTTAGTTCTTTTAGGTGTACACTTGTGTTCAATCTAAAGTTAACAAGTGGGGGTTGCCGTACTGAAACACTTTACAAAAACAAAACTAAATAGCATCAGACAAAATTTTATAATGTAATATAATTCTGTCATATGTATATTTTTTATTTATATTGTCACTGTTGTGGGTTGATTATCTCAAATCTATGCCAGCTATGGCGCTCAACAATCAAAGGCCACTAGTTGGCTATATTGGTCAATATTATAGAAGTAAATTTCCCATACTTTTTTTTTTTTTTCATTTAAACTTCCCAAAATATTCAGATATTAAGAGTTTTAAGTCACAATGAAGGCAAACCAGCTATATGATAACTAATGCTTATGAGGTTATTTTCAGTCCAAAACACATTGAAAATTTCAAATGCTTTTTGTTATTAATATAGCAGTTTATAAAGTTTATGAAAGATATTTTTATTTATAGGTTTGTGGTCATTAATTACCAAAGCTGATAAGCCCTACACACTCACATCCAGTTAGGGGCAGTATAGGTTAAAGGTTCACTTGGCAACTTTGAAGTGTCCACTTGTTTTGGCTGCTTGTTTTGCTTTGCCTGAAATGTTCCATAGTATAAATATTCAAGTTATTACTGGTGTTTTAAATCCTCAAACACTGGTTGGACAGTACCTAGTAAATATTTATCAAAGTTTTATCAGTTAAATGGCAGTTTTTGGCAAAAAAAAGTTGAGAAAGTAGCTCCGAGTTCCAAAACATAATACCTCTGTTTATGTCACCAGCACTGGACATTTCATCCAAAATGTAAGGGGAATTTAGAAGCAAGAACAGCTTAAACATTTATTTTACAAAATAATAGTGTTGTCAAGTGTTTAGTCATCAAATAATAACCATAGTGTAAATTAAGTGAGTTTTGGCCTTTTACAGCAGGGTTGTTCAAGGT